GGTGTCAGCTTTGCAGAGACGGAAAGCCTGTTGAAGAACCTGAAGGACCCAGAGGGCAAGCTGAGTCTAGATGACCTGTTGATGTCGGACACGAAGCTGTCTGCTCATCTGGGGTTTCTCAAGGAGGATCTACCGCGTGAACTAGCCCTGCTGGACATTGAGGGCTCGCTACCGAAGCTGAGTACGCTGCCGTCTACGGGTGATGAGTACGTTAGCCGCTTTCTTCTAGTTGGTACTATCCATGCTAATGGTATATCTAGTGACGATGTGTTTAGTAGCAGGGTGTCTCTTGACTCTATATTCCATTCTCCGGTGAAGAACCCAGGAGACTCAGTGGACGTGCTGCTTGCCGGGCTTGATGATGGCTCCATCCATATGAGGATCTTCGAGAGCTTTGAGATCGGTTCTATTGACGTGTCTAGTTCCCTGGATGGGCCAGATGGTGATACCGATACCAGCAAACGAGGATACAAGACTCTTCTCCATGCATCCCATCCGATGAGCACGACGCATGCACTTCTCTTCCAGAGCGAGGCCGGAATGAAAGTGCTAAATCTTGATCTACGGTTCATCACCAAGGCAGGTAGGTATCTGCCCCTGCTTGCGTCGAAGGTCACACAGCTACAGAATCTACTCCGGTATATCAAGCAAGTACAAGCACAGATGCACCTAGAGTGGAAAAATGCACGAGAACTGCCTATTCGATACCTGAGGAATATCAATGAAGAGCTCAAGGAGCAGTGCCACTGCGATTTTGTCACGGCTACATATCACTTAATAGTTACAGGCGATTGCTATGCCCCGCTGAAGGAATTTCTCGCTACCACCATCAGCGACAGAGTATGTTGGCCAACTGCTTCTTCCTTTTGATAACGTATGATGCTAACAATGTAGGGACAAAAACGATGGGAGAAGACGGTGGCTGGTGGGTATGAAGCCCTCCGCCGACTTACTTATGAATGTCTGATGCCGGCTCTGGAACGATGCGGCGTGCTGCTGAGCCGACTGATAGGACTATCAAAGTACCACCGTATCAGCCCGATCTTAGGCCTGGAGACGACCTATCTCAAGGCATGCGTTGCAACTCTGGACTGTCTTACCTTGCTGGGGCACAAGGTCGTGCTTCACAGCAGCATAGAGCTCAAGGAGTTCCATGCTTTTTCCCATTGGATGCAGCATGAGATCAAGCTCCAGTCAACAGATCCAACATCATCGACGATGGACGAGCTAGTAGAGGCGGCGGACGAGATTGACTATGGCACAACGCTGGGATATGTCAAGGGGGCACTCACCAACAGTGCTTTGCAAGGGTTCCTACAAGTACCACAGCCACCGCCAGGGGCACCAGGGGCAGATCCAGAAGATAGAAAACGATGGGACGTTGACATTCAGGACGACGGCACGTTTTACGAAGAATACAAGAAGCTGGTATCTCAGCATGAGTCGCAG